ATACGCAATGAATAGCCAGGTAGTGACCATTTAACTGTGACAGTTCCTCATCTTTGGGATAGGAGAGACATTAATTCAGTGTTTTTAATATTGTGTGCACAAATAACACATTGCAGCATGAAGAAAAATGGCAGAAAAGTTCTAGCACGTGGCATGACACTGACACCTGCAGGATTTTTTTTTTTTTAAACCAAAACTGCCATCTGTGTCTTCCACAGACCTGCTGATTGAGCTAAGTGTAGTAACTGACAGAAGCAATAGGTTATTTCTTAAGTGATCAGTGGCAAAGCAAAGGAATAGTAGTAGCTTTGACACCTTCTGATTCAGAAAAAGCGATTACAGTTGTCTTTCAAATCTGGTATTTATATATACTTGCGTAGATCTGTAGAACTTATACACCTTTCCAGCTTAATGTCAAAGTCAGCTACTTGGGGTGGATGCAGTCATTCTGACTTTACACCGATCTTGCAAAAACCAGGCTATTCAAGAATCAGCCAAGAGCCAAAGCTGGGAAAATGACAGATAATATTCAAATGAAAGGGTAAGGACAATGCCCCAGATGAGAGAGAAAGGCAGTCTTCAAACCAGTCTGATTTAGGCAGCTAAAAATCAGAAATATTGTTAGTTCCATTTTCACTATGCTTAATTTAGATCTTCTTTAATTATTGTTTCTTAATTAAGAAGCTTGTATTTGAGCACTAGACATAAGATCAAAAGGAGATGAAAAAAAGATTACACAGAACAACATGATCAAATTATATTTTTAAAGTTCAGTTTTGGGCAACTGGTATGCTTGCTTTTTTGACATCGTCTTAAAGCTGCTTAAAGCATTGAGAGAGGTCAATTAACTTAGACTGATAGCAGTTTTGCATCAAAAACTCCACACAAAGCTATTGAGCTTATATAAAACAGAACTTCCCCTCCCTCTGTGTTTGTCTGCACATAGCCTCCATTTCACAAAAATCCTTCAGCTTTCCCCCTATAAATACCCCCCTGTTCAACCTACCTTACTCCAGGTTTTTCCTGCTCTTCAAGAGAGAAGAGAAAAATGGGACAACAAACAAAAATGGATTACTTCTGCAGGTAGGTCCCAATAGCTTGTTGCCTGCCTCCCACTGACAACACATAAATGGTATTGCCAGTATTCTAAAACTATCATTTGCCAAATATTCTGGAAAGACTGCATTGAGCTGTTTTGACTTTCAGTTATAAAAGAATCACAGCAAGAGAAGTCAATTTAAAAAGTAACTAACCTGTGAGATCATCAGACTTATCAGAATAGGTTACTGCAGGGACAAAAACTCATGCATGAAATTAAGCAATCTACATAATGCAAACTTTTTATGCCAGTTAATTGGTCATGGGTAAGCAGCCACCAAAAAAAAAGATATAATATGCAGCTTTCCTTTGTTACTGTTAAACATGGCCTTAGGGATGAAAGCTTGTTCACAAAAGGAAGACATCTCAAAGACTCTCACCTAGTAGCCACACAGAAATTGTATTAAAGGAAAAGTCTGAATTCTCTAACTTACTACCATTAGGGAGAAGAAAGAAAGTGGGGGGGGGGAGAGACATGGGCAGCTTTAAGGATCCTACAGAATCAATGTTAAACCCAAAGACTTCTGAGAAAATTTTTTTTTCAAAGTAGTTATCTCTAAAACAGACACGCTGTATTTCTCCTACCTGGCAAAAATTATCAAATCCAAGCTTTAGAGTTTTCACTTAATACTATGGAATCATGCTTATCCAAGATTAATTCAAACCCCAATATTGACTACCATTAGTGAAGCAAGCAATCATAGTTGCTCTCAAACAGAACTTAAAGATTGTAGTAAAGGTGAGCAGAAAGTTAACACAAAAAGTTATTCCACAAGGGATTAGACCCACATTATTCAAAAGAGCTATAGTTAAATGCAACAAACCCTTGTAAACTTAGAACACATTTCTTCTGCTTCTTTAATAGAATTTGCTTTCAACATATATTTTGCACATTTGGAGTTGATAAATCTGTCTGCTGTGTCCAAAGCCTGAGCCTCATCCATCCACCTTGCAGCTTCTTTAATATTTCCAGCATGCTTAAAGAGATAGAAATTCAAGTTAGATTCAGTAATTATAAACCATGCATGTTTTACCCACTCGCTGTTTAATATAATTAGTTATTTTTTAGACATTTTTTAATAAATAGCTTTCTCTTCAGGGAAGCAACAGACCTTTAAAGAAAAAAAAGCTGAAAAATTACTTTCCCTCATTATGGAATTACAGGTCCTTTGGCACTAGACGTTCTTCCTGAAAACACTTGAAGGACACTTCGGATAATCCCATTCCGATACCAATACCATAGTGTAGTTGAGGAATTGTTTTCAAGTAGTTAAAAAAAAGTGGGGGGTGGGATACAAACAGGTGGAAAACATTTAAAACATCAACTAAATTTATTATTGTGATTTTTAATATAAAATATAATTGTCAACTGAGAATTCGCATTTTGCAGTATACTTGTTCTTTATTAACTTAATCTTCACAGGGGCTTAAACATGCACTAAAAAACCCAAGTAGCCAAACGACACCTTTATCTAGAAACTCACTAAAAATCACCAAGTAATTTTCCATCGATTATTCATGTGTCTTGCTTAATACAAGCTTAACACTTCAATGTTCACATCAAAAACATTACAGGAAAGTATAAGCACATGTAAAAGTCTTCCATCATAACAAATGAATAACCTCTGGTCACTAAGAACAAGCCCAACTTACCTTATAGATTTTTGCTTTCACAAGGAAGAGTTCTATCAAAGTGGGAGTACTTTCTATAGCAGCATTTATATATTCTAGAGCCAGGGATGGCTGTCCAATTTTATCATAATGTTGAGCCAAATAATATTGGACCCAGAGTAAAGTGGTTGGAGGTTCTTCTTTACCGTCATCTGGAGGGAGAAAAATGGAGGGAGTTGTTTTGTTCAGTTTATTACAACAACATGCCAGAAGCAGAGTGCTATAAATATAGCCACTGAAGTTAATTCTGACTCTGTATCAGGCTGTCACAACAGACATGGGAGTGTTTTCAAACACGTGGGTGCAGGTAAGTCCATTAACTTTTAAGTCTATGTTTTGACAAGACCTGAGCGTATACTGTTCTCTTCTCAAACTGTGGTTTTAAGGGAAAGGAAACGTGAGTTAGTGGGTCCAAAGGGAGTTCCATTTTGTTCCAACTCGTCCCTTAATGCAGCTTAGCGCATGATATAGAGTTCTTATTTAAAACTGTTTTAGATGAAGGGTATAGCAGAGAGTCCTGCTAAACACAAGTGTTGCACATTAACAATATGAAGGATTTCAGTACATTCAGCATTTACATGTTTTCAACCCATAGACTTGAATATTTTTAAACAAAACAGGCTGTCTGTTCCAAACCCTAACTTTAAAAAGTTTTTCTGTTTCTACCTTTGATACATTTATCATAACTGTTGGCCTAAACGTATCCTAGAAAACATTCCTATACACAAGTCAGTTTTGAAAGCCTGAAAGTTCGAGAGCTCTGTTTGAAAGAGTTTTGAGAGCTCTGGTTGAAATCCAAGATACTACTGAAGTCTTAACAGCTCATTTTTGACTATGAAGCATAGCACCTTGCAGGGGAAAAAAAGGGTGTGGGGGTTCTAGTCCTGCCAAAAGGTTCTGGTTCTTCAGTTTATGGTATAACTTAACCTTGCAATTATATGCATTTGATCACTTTAAGGTAGCAGAAAATTGTTTATTTGAATGAAATTCGGTATCAAAGAAAATATTGAATTGAGCTGAAATAACAGTAAGCCATTTTCCTTAAACCAGAAAAGCACAAATGTGCTTGAAAGGCTTGGACAAATTCAAACAGGTACTGAGTGGCTATATTGTAGCCTGCAGCATTGAGTTCAAGGGAAAAGTATAACAGGCAACTTGGATGAGAATTTCATAATGAAGTATTGCATTAATGTTTCTGCAAAGCAGCAAAATAACTAGTTATGACTTCAGTAAAAGTGTCTTTAATAATTAGGATTATCCTGTAAAGTTTTAACATATATTGTCTTTCATGCTATCTTGATTATTACACCATTATAATCCATCTACCAGAATGTCAAGACTATCCTCTCTTGATGTTCTATGCAGAAAAGTTTTTCTTAGAGACTTTCTGTTACAAAGTGGTTGGGCAAACGACTAAAAAAACATCATAAAGCTACCAGAGAGGAAACTATGAAGGCTGGATTCAATACATGTAGAACCATACCTCACAACAAAACAGTAGTCAGTCAAAACCTAGAAAATGTTTTTTAACTCTCAAACAAAACCCCCAAGAACACAAAACCCAGACCCCACCAAAGGCTCCAAAACCCCCTACCCCTGAAGGCTGTGCTATCAGCATCAATTTCTTTTTGTTTGACATTTCTGCAATTGAAGATTTAACATGGCTTTCAAATTTCAGTTTCCTGGACAATGATAAACTCAAGCCTTGAAAACTGAGTACTTGAACTCAAAATCGCAGATGATCAAATTTGTGGATCCAGCAAAACTTTTAGAACAAGTGACTAGATTTTGAGTACAGACTTTATATTTGACAGCTTAAATCCATTCTAAGGATGGCTGTGGTTCAGTTCTGGGGGAGTGTGGGCAGGAAAAAGCCCCATCATCTCATTTTCTTTACTCCCCACTGATTCCCTGCCTCTGAATGGTCACACCAGGCACTACTTCCATGAAGTATGCCAGTATTAGCACTCACCATTTGGGTTAAATAACCTGCAGCTTCTTAGAGAGGTTTCATAACCTATCACGAGCTCTTCTATGATTGCCACCTACACATGCAAGACAAGACAGAAAAAAAAAATCTGTGGGCAAGATGGTATTTCATTTCAACTTGAACTACTTGGTGCTACCCAAACTAGTTATTTTTGGTAAGAGAACTCTGCGATATCCTGAATTACAATACACATGGGAATGCACTCAATCTCACCTCTCTTTTTAACAAATTAAGACCAAGCCTCCCTTGGTTAATACTTATGCAGCTTATAATTAAGTAAATCTTAGTTTTCTACATTTACCAACTTGGCACAAGGCTATGTATGCTTGTACTTGATTTTTTCTAGATATACTAGGCCATAATATACAACAGTGCTGATGGAGCAAGCACTGAAGAAAAAAAAAATTATCTTCGTCTCTTTAACGCATCACAGCTATGAGGTAGATCATGTAAAAAGTGGGGGGACAACCTACCTTCTCCTTGTCTTTATATAATGACCTCAAAGTATTGAAGACTGGTGGGCAACCTTTGCTGAAGTTCATCCTTAGAAACTTGTCCAGACATTCCTTAAACTTTTCACCTTGAGAGGAAAAAGACCTGTTGATTTTGTTTTACCACACATTACTCGTCAATTGCAAACTGTTTATGCTGTTAAAACATTAGTATCTAAGAAACACGAGTGTTGATCACTACCTGCTCAGCAAAAATGCACCTACCTGACAAGAAGTTTAACGGTAATCTTCTTGGAACTAGTCCCCTTGGGTATTTAGTCCAGGCCTCTTCATAGATCTTTAGCCTCTCCATCATGTTAGCTGGAACGGAATTTTACAGTTTACTTTTTTCTTCCCTTTTGACAAGAAGGGAAGAGGGGGTGGGGAGTGATTTATATCTGGTTAAAAAAAGCATCAGAATATATAGCAACTAATGGCTATATACTTCCTAAAGAACACTAATTACCATTTTATTCTTTTTAAAACTGCCATGCTAAATGATTTCAGGTATTCAGTATCTGTAAATTCCTCTTCCAGCAATGTAAAACTAACTGCTTATTTCTGATCTTAAAAAAGAGTTCCTGCTAAAATGTTGAACAAAGAAACCACTCAGGAGAATCATGCCTTTTTTTCCCAAACCTGTATTACCTACAGCATAAGATTACGCTAACAGAGACAGTAAAAGAAAAATTCTAAATCAAAACTGTCTTCTAATAAATATTTTTCTTCTTTCAACCACGCACAAAGATTACTGCATTTTTTGTTGTTTTGGTTTTAAATAAGACATGGAAACAACAATACAAGAAATACTTCCAGCCTTTCTTAAAACAAACAAACGAAACCAAAACATTATGACAATATGTACACACTATGACTAAAAAGCTAAACTTAAATGGGGATGCTTTTAAATAATAGTTTTATTATTTAAAGCAATAAAAGTTTTTGATAAATATATAAATTCCAAATGTGCAGGAACAGCTTATTTACTACAACATATCAAATCATTACCTGGTTTAAGTGCCTTTTCTAGGCCTTTGTAGTAGGCCCAGTTTTCAGGATTTCTTTCTTGCAGTCCTTTGTACACTTCAACTGCTTCTTCAAGTCTGCCAAGCTGAAGCAGGAGTTCTCCTGTATGAAATCCAAGAAGTTTTAAATTAAGGTAACAAGGTACTGAAGCAGGGAAATATTAATCACTCTACAGTAAAAGATTAGATGACTTAACTCCATGTAGATTCTAATTTCTTAGAAAAAATTATCACAGTGGCATCACAAACTAGCTGACAGATACGCTTTGACAATAGGTGCAATTACAGTAAGATTCTACAAGTCAGCCAGTAATTCTTGAAACTTACTTGAAAATTTTATGTTAAAAGCAAGATGCATGTTTTTTTTTCCTCACTTACTGAAGTGACTGGTTACTTTAACCGCAGTTTTTACTACAGAAGGCAATTAAAAGCAGTACACGGTATTTCATGTATAGAGCATCTTGAATACCAAATTGAAATTGCAGAGCTGCAAATAAAAGAATGGTTCTTCAGTCTGGTATTTCATAAAACTAACTTCAATGTTTTAAATCAAGCTATTGATCTGATTAATGAATTCAAGATTCTGCAAGCAAGTTTCCTTTTAATAATATTTCATTACAAGATACAACCGTTAAAAGTAAAGTCTAGATCTAACAACTGTATAGAGCATCTTTGCTGATGCTGGAGTTGTTCCTGTTTCACAATGGGAAACCATATTTTACAAAGCTTTGCTATTGGCAAATGTTAGGCATTAAAAGATTACACACCAGAGGTGATACAGTGTAATTCTAGATTAAGCTAAGATTTTCTCATCCGGTTTCAAGAGAAAAATGCGAGTCAGTGTTACCTCTCTTCTTCCCTACATCATGCAAATGACATGTAATTTTGTCAAGAGATGCCACTTCCCACAGATAGCACAACCTGAGGACTACATACATGCAGTATCTAATGCCAGGGAAAACATCAATAGTTCCCTCGCTGAGAATGACAGAATCTGGAAAATAAACCTAAATTCTTTCTCTGAGGTGAAAGCTATAATTTTTATCTAACGGTGGCAAATGCCAATACTACTTTCAGTGCTTCTCAGTTGTACTTCATCCACAATGGCTTTTGCTCATGCACCTAAAATTCGCAGACAAACTCATTTATTACCAGGCTTTTCTGTAGTATGCACAGCAGCTAAGCTGGACCTAACAACACAACAGGAGCTGTGCCCAAAATAATTAATCAGTTGTACCCTGTTGAAAGTGCACAGACTGCAAAGAGTATTTCCGTCCTTTTTTCTGGTAACTTGCTAACACGTTTTGTGTTTTGAGTTAGTTTGGGTTTGGTTGGGTTTTTTTGGTGAAGTCCTGTTTGAAAATCCTATTTCAGTACCAGCCTTAGACCTTCATCAAAATCTTAAGAACACATAGTATGTAAACAGATCTTTCAGATAAAAAATAAGTCATTAAAAACCACCCCCACCCGCAAAACCAAAACTCCTGCTACTACGTCTGAAAAATACTCTGTGATAGTGTAATCCCCTATATCCATTTCTATTTATATGCAAACCAAGTAACATATTCAGCAGCAGTGGAAAGTCACTTGCAATCATCTTCCTTGAGGAAGATCCATAATCTTCCATAATATTGTCACTACTCAATTCCTAGGTTCTTTTTGCCAGACAGTGAGATTACCGTTAGCAGGAATAGGGAGCTAGCTACATCATCTACATGAATAACATTATAGAGTAAAAAGACTTCTTCTCTTTGCTTCAAGCAATCGTCCAAATAGATTCCAGTGTGGGCCATGAACAAACAGTACCTTCAACGGATTGGAAGTTTCGCAGAAGGACTGTACAAGCATCAAGCAGAAGAGGAACAACGCATGCTTTGAAAAAGCGCAACAGTTAGCAGAGCTGTAAGAATGAACTTCTATCACTGTGCAATTCCAGCTATGGAATATAAGATACAGTATTATATTGCTCTGTTATAATATTATACACTAGGATTATAATAATACAATAACAGAAGCCTACGTTGGGTTGCTCAGCTGAAGGGCCTATTTCCATACACTGCGAGAGTGACCGAGTATAATTAAAAGCCACCTACTTTGCCAAAGATGATTCTGCCCTTTCAGCAAGTGGTCTCCCTGGCAGAACCACTATCAAAGCTATAATAGCATGGGTCTGGGTATACTACCCAAAGAGGATTTCAGGACATCAATGCAGGATCATCCCTCTGAAACGCCCATCAGCTCAAACATTTCAGAACAGTATGTCTGTACTCTATTGATGTCTTATCAACCTGGGAGAAGAGTATGATAGGCACCGAACAGCTCCAAGACCAGCAGTCCTTTACCACAGCAGAATTAAATAAATTACTCTAAAACCAAATCAAAGATGAAGTTCCAAAAGATGGGAAAAGCTAACAGCACAGGCATTCCATTGTATATTATGTGTTTAAATGTACCTTCAAAAAGTAATTACCTTTTGTTTCTTCAACAGCCAGTTTATCACAGATCTGCTTTTCGTAGGTACACAGATGCTCCAAGGCTTCTTTATATAGTCCTGCCTCCCGAAGTACTTGATTTTGATACAGCAGCAGTTCGCTGTACTCATAGTCTACTTTATCAGGTGATGTCTACATAGGAAAGCAAGACACATGAGGAAGTTCAGCCTGCCAGAATGCATTTGGGATTTAATTCATCTGACTGAAGAAACTGCATAAAGTTTTCACACCATGAAAGGAAGCAGTGTTTTATTTTTGGCTTAAGCAGCAATCCATACAGGAATTTCATGTTTTCCTCTTACCTGCTGTGTCTTCCTAAATTCCTCTAAAATTTTTGCTGCCATTTCATAGTCTTCCAGCAGATGGTAAGCAATAGCATAACCAATCCATGATGCTCGCTGTGCAGGTCGGAGCTGAAGCAACTGGTATCTTGTTTCCTGCAAAAAAGTAGCTACTAATTTTCCTGACTTTATTCTGATGCTCTGTAGAATCCCTTATGCAATACTGTCTTCAGTATTCTAATATTTAAGGAATGCCACTAAAAATTAGTTTTCTGTATGCAAATGTACTTTTTTTGAACTAAAAGAAAGAATAAACTTTAAAACACTATGATGGTCTTGACTGAATTAAAAAAAAAACCAAAACCACCACACACAAAATAACACATCACGTCCAACTGAATACTGATGAGTCAGACTAACGTTGTTAATATATGACAGACGTGCTTTTCCTGTCTTACCACTTACGAACAGAATGCAATTAAGGACACTTTGCTTTGAGATGCAGGAACATTTACTATACGCTGGTGTTTCAAATTCACCTTGTAAGTACGTAAGTATTAAATCATTACAAGTGATTTTAGGCAAAATAGGTCATGCAAGTGCATCCCTATTCTTTGGCAAGAAGATAATTACACTTGGAAGATGCAACAGATTTGCTTGGTATCATGCTGTTTTAATCTGAGGGAAAAGTTATTACTTGTTTTATTACAGACTCCTGAAAGGCATCTTCAAGTAATTTAAAATAAAGGAAAAAAGTTACTACCTACGAAAAAAGCCCAGTCAGAAGTAGGGGTTAACAAAGAACTAAAACTAGTTACAGCAGTTTGATTAGAATGAAGATCACTCAAAATATTATAAAGTAGGAGAGGGTGGAAGTCAAAGTGAAGAAAAAAAAAAAAAAACCTCCCCAACCTTATATCCGGTTTTGAAAGTAAATTCACATTCTTCAGAAACTAGCATATGATCAATCACGAATTCCTGGCTTCTACACACGTTAACATTTAATCCTTAATGCATTCTATAACCATGTGTTCCTTGTATGTTTAGCAATTATGCATTTGTATTCACATTTATCCAGAGGCCAAGAGAACGTACATTTGCAAATTAATTTTGGCACTATGCGAAGTTTTGGCTATCTTGTCTTAGCAAGAGAGGAGTCAAATTTCTAAATCACTAATATTAAAAAAAACCCCAGTGATTAAGAAGTGTTCTAACTCGGAAATAAGTTCACTGAGGACCTATGTTAGCTGACGGTTCCACACGGCTCCGAGAACAAAACTTGTTCTTAGCATACTAACATTACCCTAATTAGAAAAGGAAATAATCTATGAAGAGACCAACTAATGTGTTTTAACAACCACAACTGTAAAGGTGCAAGGAAAACCTGAAAAGATGAAAACTTGACATAAAATATTATCCAAAGTCTCTCAGGTAAAAATCTAAAAGTTGTTTTTTTTTTTTTTTTTTTTTTTTTGTACAGACAAGGAATACCTTATTACACCAGTCTACATTAGCTGAAAACCAGACAAGTTTCCAGGCACAAAAATGTAATTCAGGAGGGATTAAGCCATTTTTTTCAATTAATTAATGTGTGAATTATAAATACTTCGGGTAACTATTGCCATCTTTCCCTGGATGGCACAGTAAGAAACAAACAAATCTTCTATAGTCATTGTTCTGTCTAACCTTAAGTGAGCCATATGTTGATCATGGGCAGCAACTACAACTTAAGCTGAACCACACAAACATCTCTGCAATACACATACTAAACAGAAGCTGCTACTTTTTAAGAAATGAAGGTATTGGCAAGCTAGACATCAGCTTGCAATTCAAGAAGGCAGGAAAAAAACCATCCAACTACATTAGGAGTAGCATTTGTAGAAAAGACAATAGAAAGTTTGTATTCCTCTTTACAGAAGTATCACAGCTGAGACACTATCACCTCTCGTAATGGTTAGTTAGCATGAAACATCTCACATGGCAAATATGGACACCTGATGCAAGGCAGCAAATAACTGGGTGCTGTAGTAACGGGCAGAAAGACGGTTCCAATTTAAGTTACCAAACTGCGTTCAGCTTTAGTACAAAATGAAGAGAAGAAAACAAGATAGTAATCTAAACATTTTGAGTATTAAATCAAGAAAGAGGAGGAATATTCAAGAGTTCTGATCTATAATCTTACAGCTCACAGGAAATGTAAGGAAATATTTGGACTCAAGGAGCTATCACTAAAGCCCAGGTTGGCTGGGAAGCAAAATGGGATGTTTCATGCAGCATACTGCTTGCTTTGTATTGTTACCCACTGTCAAGAGAAAACTGGTGACCAGATTTAAAGGAGGTATATACGGTAAAAAGTTATTAAAAAATAGAAACCCCTTTGCCTGAATAACAGTCATCTTCTGAACACATTGCCTTTTACCTGCAAGAATCCTTCCAAGAAAATAATAAAAAGACTGGGGATTGTCTACAGCTGGATTATACAGCATTAAAAAAAAATAAGAGCAAACAATTCTGCACTGAGCTGAAAAAGAATCATTTAATATGCCATTAAATCTGTATACATTATAGAAATTCCTCAGTAGCACATCTGCTTTTACTTTCATGAAGTATTGAGTAGCACATAGTTTTAACACTCTGGATATAACTCTGTATATTTTTTAAGTGTCATTTACCACTGATTTCACACCTTTGCTGCAGTTCCCTAGAAGCTGATAATAAATGCAGTATGTATACTTACCCTGTAACCTTCAAGATCCCTCATTTGAATCTGTAGCAGAGAAAGATCTCTCAAGATTTGAAGATTGTCTTTGTCCCATTTCAGTGCATTTCTATAGCATTTGATAGCTTCGTCATACTTCTTGTCTGACCTCTGAAGAAGGCCATAGACATGCCAACCTAGAAAACTCTGTCAAGGATTCTACGGAATTTGAGCAGGGAGAAAACAGACCCAACATGTCAGTGACAGAACAGCTGGTAAAAAGCTCTTAAGCCATTTTATAAACGGACAGTAACATTATTACAATCCTTACAGTTCTTTTCCTCAGCTGTGCAAAGAAACTCCTTGCAAACTGAAGACAGAGAACTGTTTGCCCGTTACATGTATAGGGTGCATATAATATGCTGTAAACTGTACTTTTTGCATATTGGGGGAGGAAATCAAGTAATGGGATCTCTGAAAAGACTATCAGGCTTAATCAAACACATTTTTGAGTAAGGGTTTATATTAGACAACTGAAGTGCTTGCACTTCCTGCATTTAAGTATATGACAAGTCCTTATCAATGTAATGGCAACTACTAATGTGTTTAAAGCAAACCACATGCTTAAATGCCTAGTTCAGCCCACCACAAGTTGAGTTGCAGCTTAAAGATTAAAAAAAAATATATATACCATGCAAGCCAGAATAATATTTGAGCTAACTGTGACTGCAAGGATAGCTGCAAAGCATCCGCCCTTTGGATAGCTTAGACAAAATATCGTTATGTATTGGAAACAAAATTTAAAAGTCTGAACTTCCAGTCTGAAGCCCAATGGTACTGGCTTTTGCTGCAATTCTATAAATTAAGTAGTTGTAGAAACAAACATTTCCATTCATAAGCGAAAGCCCTATTTCAAAAAGGATACAGACATGACTCTTCAAGTCATTTCTTAGGCCTCTACGCACAAGTTCATAAGCTTCCTCTTTCTTCCCTAGACAATTTAATGTTAGTCCTTTCATTGCCAAGGTTTCTAAAAAAAAAAAAAAAAAAAAAAAAAAAAAAAAAAAAAAAAAAAAAAAAATTAAATAAGTATCAGTTATTCATTTTCATAGGTTTTTAAGCTTAGTATAGCAACTCTAAATATAGTATAAAGGCAAATTTGCAAATTTAGACTCAGCAGCATCAAGATTTTGCATTCTTTTTTTACACTGAAAACTATACTGGCAGATTATTCACCAAAAAGTGAAGCAGCATTTTATTTTAAAGGCACTAAAAACTGTCTGCTCTACAAACATTTTGAAGAGAAGTATTTTTTTTACTGTAAAGAAGCATTATAACTACTCGAGTATTTATTTACAACACAGACTTCCACACATCGACCCATGCCAAACCAGTTGGCAAAGAAAAACAAAAAGCATTTCTGGACAGTGGAAAGAAACTCTCAACTCAGTAGTAATAACCAATTGAAAATACGGCAAGGGACTACTACTTCTTTTACAATAAGACTATTCCTTCAGAAAAAGTAGCAGACCACAAAGCTGAGAGACACACAGTGCTGAACAATGTTCAATCTCTTCCTTTTGTCTTGCACTTCTACGTGAGTGAATAACAATTTCCCCTGAAAACTGATTTAAGCAATGTATGCTTCTGTTAAGAAACTTGCACCATGCTATAATGAATATTAGACTTGCAGCACAAAGATAAAGAATGGCAAGCTATGACTACCAACTACTGGTAAGACCAGTCTTTAAAATTACAAACCTTAACCAACAATAAGTGCTTCACGTGGTACAGGTTTCTGGATGCTCTTACTGCTTTATGGGCAAAAGGTTAACAATAAAGTCCTATAAATATTTATAAAACTTACAAATTATTACTCTGTCCTAAACTATAGGGAAAAAAAGAGAGTACATACCATTTGAAAACTTACCTCCATGTTCTGCAAACTTTGGGTTAGAAAGGATCTGTTTACAGAACTTCAGCCCATTTCTATACTGCTTATGTTCGTAACACCTCTGTTGAAGAAGAACAGAGTACATTCATTTAAAAAATTTAGAGTGAAAGTCTTTCTGCACCCCCAAAATTAAGCATCAGTGCTAGGGCTTTTAGAAAATGCACTCATATTTTAATGAACTGTCTTTAATGAGCTTCCTGTGATTAAAAATTCTTTCCATCAGCAGAAAAAATAGTATATGTTAGTAAGAACACAAATTTAAATGTATACCTGAAGACACATTATCATACAGCAATTTCTCAGATAAGATACCACAGGAAGCGTAAGTACCTACAGAGATTCGACTTTCCTTTAAAATAAAAGCAAACCTTATGTCATAACGTATCTTGGTAAGCATTTAGCTCACTTTGGCTCAATTATCTTTCACAGAAACACCACAAGACAACCTCCAACAACCATACAGGCAGGGAAGAAAATGAAATAATTGGAACTTGGCTTAAACTATCTCTGAAAGCAACCTCTTACGATCAATTTGAATACCACATATATCATATATGTACAAACTTTCAAAATTAGTATACACTAACATTATCTTGCCATACTGCAAATTAAAACATTCCTCTACAGTTTTATTAAATCCAACTCTAACAATTTGCTTGTGTATGAATCTCATTTCATTATGCAAGGCAACTGCAATTCGAAATGGCACACAGCATGAACTTTTAAAACCGGTTTTAGTATTTTACTTCTGTCAATCCACTCCCTGTGCTAATCTTTAAATAGAAGCCAAAGGAGGAAGAAGTAACGTTGTAAACACCAATTCATACACTTTAAGTCACTTAAGCAAATGCGAAGAATATCTTAGGTTTCATTTTACTGTAATGCCAATGCCCTGACCTGAGTATAAGAGTAAAGAAACACGTTTCTTTACTCCCAAATCCTATGGTAACTAGGAAGTCATTCAGAACAGGATCTCACTGACTCTCATTGACCAGTTCTGGTGGCAGGATGGCCGACAGGAGTGTACAACCGGCTAACAGCCGACAGGTTTCAAGTCATCCTAAATAAGTTGTTGTTCAGAATTCCACCTTTCCTCCATCTGCTCCAAATTAACTATGTACGGACACCGTTTGTCCTCTAAGCACTCTCATAAAAAAAAAGTTAGGAGAGGCAGACCCAACAAACCGGTTTTTCCATCAAGCAGAAAGTTCTAAAAATAAAACTTTAAAAAGTTACATGAATGTTATGGAAATGCTTAAAAAAGAAAATGGTGTATCTACCTCAACTTCTCTGCTTTACGTTGCTTTTGCATCATGAAAGGTGCCGTTTAGTGTGCAGTTTTCTCTTCCAAAGCAGATAGAAACACCAACAAGAAACTTCAAAGGTGTAAAAAACCTGGTATACCACTAAGTGGATGTATTATTTTCTAGGGACTAAAGCTGAAATATCAAAGCTGAAGACCAAGAGGCATCACAAACCAAGGATCTTGCTCCCCCTATCCTGTCACCACCCTTTGGAGAAAGGGAATCATGGGAATGGAAAGAGGAGAAGGAGGAGGAGAAGGAAGAGAGAGCATCCAAAGCAAGATGGACTCAAAGAGGAACGTATCAACAAAAGAGTAATAGAATGGTTTGTATTGGAAGGGACCTTCAAAGATCATCTAGTACAATGCCCCTACCATGGGCAGGGACATCTTTCACTACATCAGGCTGCTCAAAGCCCTGTCCAACCTTGACTTTGAACACTTCCAAAAGACAACTCCCTCTGTCACCAAGGACAGGAAAAGTTAGCAAGGCAACCACCTAGCAAAGGAAGATTAAGGGTTAGGTAAGAGGAAAACTGTATAGGTGTCTTTTTTTTTTCTTTTTAAATTTGACTGGTTATTATTTATACCTTTTAGTCATTACCTGCTTTCAAGTAGCTGGCTGAGTCACTTTAATCAGCCACTGGTCAGAGATGACAGAGAGCTTACAGGTGACAACACAACAGGATCAAGACCCCCCCTCCCCCTTTTTTTTTTTTTTTTAAATTGAAATCATCAGTCATAAAAGTTACCGCCCAGGCCTCCTCCCTGAAAGCAGAACCGCCATTTGCTCCCACCTAGGTAGGCGTGAAAGCAGCAAAACCTGTCACAAAAGTGCTGCAGCCACAGGAACTTAAGAACACATCTCCAGTGTAACTAAGGCACTGTCACAAGCAGAAGGGGTACTTTCAGGTTTCGCAATTTGCCTTTAAGTGCAGCTGCTCAGATGCTGGCTATGAACATGAAATCTTATCTCTAAACAGTTCCATTTTACATACTCTAACAACCAGTCCTTCACCTTGAAGTTGAAGGAAAGTCAGCCAAGATGGTATATATGCTAGAGACAGGAAATGTTTGCACATAGGTTCTTCTCAGAGTAATACAGAATTTACGACGCAAGGTACTTTATAACAGAGTAAACTCACTGAGAATTGTAACAAATTCTCCCTTTAGGCTGCAGGGAGGAAAAATTTACAAGTTTATATCCACTTACATCTATTGAAAGGTTCCCATCAACCCAGAGAACACTGGGTAGGACCAATAAATTATCAGGAACTGATCATGTACTTGTATCACGCAAAGTACCAAATGAAGAACTAGCCATAGCTGCATATATCCCTCAGCGAAGTATCATAGGTCTCCATTTTCAGGTGTTTCTAGATCAAGACAAGTCTGAGTGATTTCCTATATACAATTTCTCCAACCTTCCAGGTTAATAGTTCAAGCCTATTTCATTCTGTTAATGGAAACAGTCCAAACTGTGTCATTTTATGAGTTTCCTTATTCTATGTATGTATTCTATGTACACATTGTATGTTTTCAACAGTGGAAGGAAGGGAACAAATGAAATCGAGGTCACGTTTTGTCCTTCTTCAGAAAAGGAGATTGTTTCATCAAAGTGGGTCCAACAGCATCACTGGGATTCCACTACTTGAAGCCATGCATATACTTGTCTCCCTCTCTGAAGAGGTTATGGACTAACAAGCTTAAATAAAGTTGTGAATGAGAGAGAAGGAAGTCAGGAACGCAGCTTATGCCACCATGGCTGGTACAAACCTTGGTGAATCTGTGGCTTCAAGGAACAGAAACATGAAAGAAAAATCTTTTAAGAAAAAGGAGACAGTAAATATTGAAAAGGGGAAAGGAAGAAGAAAA